CAGTAGGAAGGAGCAAGAAGGAAATAGTAGGCAGATTGATGCAGTGATAACATCCTCTGTGCCCCATAAATGTATTTCATCCATGGAAGAAACACAGCATGTCATGACCACTGAAAGAAGGGCAGGGTTGAACAGCCTGGGTTCATGGAGTTCTGCTGGAACAGGAGGAAAGAAGGAATGGCAGGTTTTATTAGCAGTGGTGTAAAGCAAAGTTTCACACATCCTTGTTATTTTTACTGTAATTATTGATTGTGGCAAAGAAGAGCTAATTTAAATCTAATTTTAAATAATAGTATTTTCTAACATGCACTCCTAGAAAAACTTTCTTCTCCTCCCAGTACCTGAAGCCTTTTGACCTTGCACCGATGCAAGGATGTTGAGAAAATGATATTTACAAATACTGATAACAGTGTACGTAGTCCATTATCTATAATCCTGAACTCCAAAGAATAGGGAGGTGGGGAACCCACACTTTTTTCAAATAGGAAAAAATTAAGTAAAAGTATACTTAATTTAGGTAGCAAAATCTGACTTGAACTTAACTGGTATGGTGGCAAATCCAGAGCTGAACTTATGTGAAGCTAATCAGAGGCTTGACATTACGTATGTATCAATTCCGAAATGCTGCTTGGGTTTTGAGAGAGAAGTATTTCGGCCTTTAGTAGTTTTAGTCATGTGTCCTTGGAGTGACCTATTTAATAACTGTTAACAATGGTAGGCTTTATCACCCTGAAGAGACTAACCAGGCAGTTTTTAATTTGCATATTAGTTTTTTCATTCAATATCTGTTTATCATAGCAATGCTGTGATAGTATTATGTCCCTAGGTAGCAGTATGTCCCTTTAATCAATCATTATGTATTGAGTTGACCCAGTATTGTGTTCAAAACAAGTGAAAGTTAATAAATAGTAGGTTTTTGTGGGGCTTTTAAATGGGTTCTTATAATATTTCTAGAAGAGGTTCAAAGCTATTTGAAATAATTATAGCCTTGTAATTCTATGCTTTGAATAGAGCAACATTTACTTGGTGTATAAGTTTTTGTATGTTGATTTAAAATACTCATTATTTTTAGGTTTATTATTATATGGGTGTATTTGAACATCAGATGTAGACATATATGTGCAGTGGCATCATTGGAAAGTTGGAGATACAAGAGTAGAAGATTGGGGATTCAGATACAAAAGAGTTTTCTTAAACACCTAGTATGTTTCAATCCTTCTTTCCTTTATTGTGAGCTGATGTGTATACATCTGAAAGACCAGAAGAGACTGATCTGGAATGACATTTTTATAAGTACTATTTTACAGTACCCACAAAATATCAGGCAATTACTGGCTGTTGGTATATCCATTATATTATTTAATCCTCATAACAAATGACCATACATGATCGGTTTGGCCCCTTGCTGCCTCTTCACCCTCTTTTGTAATCCAAATTAGGCCATTTCTGGTTCCTACTTTAGTCTGGCTCTCCCTAGTCAGGTCTCAGCTTAAGTGTTACCTCCTCAGAGAAGTCTTCAGCTACCACCAATGTAAAGAAATCACTGAAGTCACATCATTGCATATTAGTTGCTTATGTTACCTCTTTCCATCTGGTATTTTCCTGTTTCTTTATGTGTTTGTTTCCACCTTGATTGTTTCTCTTAATAAAGTGTAAGTAAGCTTCTTATCTATTATCTACACTTTATCACCAGCACCTTTTTAAACTAGCCAAGAAATACCTGTAGGAAAAAAATGTATGAATTGAGTCTAGAAAACATAACAGATGATTCTGGTTTAAAAAGACTAGGAGAAATAAGGATTTAAGGGTATTTGGACCAGTGTTTCTCACAGCCTGCTAAACTAACCTGAGCCAGCAGCAGCAGCAACACCTGGGAGTTTGTTAGAAATGCAAACTCCAAGGACCTATTGAACTAGAAATGCTGGTGGTGGGGCCCTGCACTCTGTTTCAGTAAGTCTCCCGGGTCATGATTTTGATACATAACCACTAATTTAGACATTTCTTTGCACCGGTTGTGAGAAGGATTAGTTCTGTTTGTTTGTTTATAAGCCAGATTAATAATTTAAAATGTATTTTTCTGTGCATGTTTTTGTTAGCTGAATATATATCTTTAAGATTTTATTTATTTTTAGAGAGGGGGAAGGGAGGGAGAGAAACATTGATGTGTGGTTGCCTCTCGCGTGCCCCCTACTGGGGACTTGGCTTGCAACCCAGGCATGTGCCCTGCCTGGGAATTGAACCTGTGAGCCTTTGGTTTGTAGACCGATGATCAATCCACTGAGCCACATCAGCCAGGGCTGTTAGCAGGATATTCTTTAAATTTTCACATATCAGAAATTTGAAAAATGTATAGCTGTAATTGAAAGTCAATATAGCTGATTCAGTGAACTGGGGACAAAATTTTGTTTGCTTTCTAATTTCAAAAGAAATTTCTTTGTTTGGAATTGTCTTAAACCAGCTTCAAAGAGTAATTAACGTTTTCATAAGTCAAAAACAAAACTTGATCTAAGGATTAGAATAGCATGGTATCTCTTACAGACCTTTAAAGGAAAATTCAGTAGAGCTCTGTATTTGAAGCATACTGTTCTAAAGTGAAGGTTTACTCAGGGACTTTAAAATATTTTTTTAAAGATTTTATTTATTTATCTTTAGAGGGGAAGGGAAGGAGAGAAGGAGAGAAACATCAATGTATGGTTGCCTTTCATGTGTCCCCTGCTGGGAATTGGCCTGCAGGGAACTGGTCTGCAACCCAGGCATGTGCCCTGACTGGGAATCGAACCATGATTGTCTGGTTTGCAGGCCCGTGCTTAAAATATTTTTAAAATGCTACTTATATTGTATTTGTCTTCAAATATTAATTTCCACTGCCACTTTTATGTACCCTTTAAGTAACATTAACTACATTTAGTAGTAGAGTACATAATATAAAGTAGTTTTTTAAAAAGAGTCCAAAATGGCATTTGCATTCATATCTTGAGATATTAATGTTTTTCCTGTTATGCACAACGCCAAAGCCTTATCTTTCTTGATCTAGAACAGAATACCATGAAAATTTTCTGAAAATCTAAACATTTTTGAAGTGGAAGAAAAATAACTTATGAAATGCCTGCCACACACCAGCTAAATACAGGTATTAGAGCTAATAGGTATAGAAGCTGCTGTACAGAGAGTGAAATAAGTGACTTGTCCAGTGTCCCGTGGGCACTAAGCCACAGGGACAGGATTCAAACCTAGGGGTGTCTGAATCTAAAACCAGTGATTTTTCAGCCATTCAGTACTGCCTCATAATTCCTGTGTATGCAAGGAAAGACAAGGTGAATCATCGTAAATCATTCGTGAAAGCTAGCAGGTGCAAATAATAAATGAATAAATAAAATTTGGCAAGGGTTTGCTATTTTCTCACTAAATCTAGCTAAAAGGCTGCCGTTACTCCCAGCATACACCTAATCACTTAAAAATGTTGGGTCACAATTACGGCTTCAGATTAAGCAGCTCTTTTTAATGGTTAGGAAAATGTCATAGAAATGTTTATTTTCAAAATCCTAAAAATATTAAGATATTATTTCAATAAGTATTTGAATATGAACAGATTTTCTCTTATTCTGTTGCTTTAGAAATTGAAACTACTTTCTTACATCATTTCTATATTAAGTCTTGAACAAAATACAAAATTATTTCTATTTGCTGGGAAATCATTTCTACTTGGCCACCTATAATATTTTATCAGTTGAATTATTTAATCCTTTTAGTATACATACAATCTGCATTTAAGTAAAAAGTGTTCTTAATTTACTTAGTGTTAAAGTGCTAAAGTCATATAAGGTGTATTTTAAGGAGATACTTTTCTTTGAAGGCTTCATTTCAGATGCTTAAAGTTAATTTCTTATAAAAGGTGGTAACATTTAATTATAGATTTAGCAATCACAGTGTTTTGAGAGTATGTGATATACTATAAATACAGATTACTTACTGTGAGCAATACATGCCTGCATGCATACTCATTTTTAAGGTAATTTCATTGCATTGAGTTTTGGAAGTTGTTTGATAGCTTTTTGGACTCTTCTCGATATCTTCAGTAGAATTTAAAGATGTTCTGAGTGAATAAACAGTGTCAGATGTTAAATACTTGTTATGTTAAATGTTAATTGGGATCCCTGAGCTATCAAGCCATTTAAAATGGTGTTATATGTGTTAGAAGGGAAATTGAGGTACCATTTTCTTCTTAAAAGAGAATATAGAAAAAGTAATTGGCATACTGTTAAGAGTTAAAATAGCAGTATTACCAATTTTTAGTATTCCAGGATAAGTCATATAATCAGTTTAAGATTGACACTTTTCTGTTTTCTCTTTTCTGTGACATGCTCTTGAGTATTTAAAAGGAAATTACCCTAGTTCTCCCTCATCTGTAGAGGAAACATCTCTAAGACCCCAGCAGATGATTGAAACCATCGACAGTACCCAACCCTACGTGTACTGTTTTTTTCCTACACATACACACCTATGATAAACTTTAATTTAAAATTAGGCAATCTCACAGAAGATTTGTTCTTACCATAGATCTTAGCAAACTCAACATACAATGTTTTTTGTTTCCTTTAAGGTAAGTACTTTCACCTTTTCAGTTAAAGGAAGCACTTTTCAGCTTCTCTTTGGCATAGTCAAAGTGCCAGTATCACTATTCTTGTGCTTTGAGGCCATTATTAAGTAAAATAATTACTTGAACACAAGCCTAGTTAGCAACATGACGGGGGTCTGATAACCAAGAGGGCTACTAACTGCCTAGCAGGTGGGTAGCATGCACAGCCTGGGGTGCTGGGTAAAGAGCCGATTCAGGCCTGGGCAGGACAGAGCAGACAACACAAGATTCTATTACACTGCTTAGAGTTTTGCACAATTTAAAACTTACGAATTCTTTATTACTGAAAGTTACCGTTTAATATTTTTGGACTGTGGTCCATTGTGGATCATTGAAACTTGGAAAATTGGTTTCAATTTCACAGATAAGGGTGAGACGACTGTGCAGAGAGCAGAAAAGGAAATTAGAAGGAAAAGGAAATACTGCAGACTGTGAGTAAGTTCTGGAAAAACTGGGGGGATAAATTGCTGAAAAGACAAAGCTATAGAGTTGTAAAGTATTACACTTAGAGCAGTGATTATCAGCTGGGGCTGATTTGGCCCCTGTGGGCACATTTTGCAATGTTAGAGATACTTTTAATTGTCCTTACTTGAGGGGATCAGGTTGCACAGTGGTCAGGGATGCTGCTGAACAATACAGAACGTAGGACAGCCGCCAACAACAGATAATTATCCAGTCCCAGATGTCCACAGTGTTAGACTGAGAAACCCTGCCTTGGAAAGAGACACCATCTCTCATTTGTTTAAGGCCCTGAAGCTACTAAATGAAGTGGCCATAACTTGAATTTGGATCTCCTGACCCCAAGCCATTTGTTTTCCTTGATTCTCATTGTTCTTAGAATCAAAACTTGAGTTATCTGCCCTGGCTGGTGTTGGAGCATTGTCCTATAAACCGGAAGATTGCAGGTTCAATTCCCAGTTGGGGCACATACCTAGATTTCCCAATTGGTACCTTCTTGGGGCTACTATGAGAGGCAGCCAATCAATGTTTCTCTCTTACGTTGATGTTTCTTTCTCTTTCTTTGTCTGTCTGTCTCTCTCTCTGTCTCTCCCCTCCTCCCTCCTTTCTCTTCTTTCTAAAATCAGTGAACATGTCCTTGTGTAAGGATTAAAAACTACAAAAAAAAATGTTGTCAGTTTGGAGAAGTGAGTGAGAGGGGAAGCAAAGGAATTATCAAAGTAAGTGCTATATCTCCATTTTTATGTGCCCCTTAATTGTAGCATAATTAGGTTTAAATTGTGTTTATTCACTTGTCTAATTTATATAGTATCTAGAAGTACCATTTGTTTTGGAATCGGTAGCTTCAATTTGTTTCTCTGTGTAAAACTTAATACATATTATCAATGTTTATTCATAGTTCAGAGCATCTTGCAAGGCATACTGTAGGGGTATAAGAATTTTAAAACAAAAGTATAGCGTTTGGGAAAATACAATCTAAAAGAAAATGAAATGTGGGGAAAAATTACTCAAAAGGTGAGTTGAAAAAAACCACCTTGCATCCAAAACTGTATGCAGGGATCCACCTACGTGTTAAAAGAGCAGGACATGTGTGGGTACATTACAGTATTTATACATAAAGGAATATATGTATTCATTATAAATGATGTTTATGATGAATTTGTAGTAACAAAGATACACCCTTATATTAAGCAAAAAAATTAAATGATATAAAATTTAATCCTCTGCTTTTAACTAAAAATTTAAAAACATTCTGACAAAGTATCTGGTGTATAGTATTATAGTATTTATAAATTCAAAGTGGTGTTACAGTATTCTATTAAACAAAGTAGATTATACTGATTCATTCATGTAGCAGATATTTTCTCAATGCCTTGGATGTTGCGGACACGACGCTACATTCTAGGGACAATACAGCGAGCAAGAGACAAACAAAACTTTTCCTTAAAATGTTAATAGTCTCGTCAGGGAAGATAACCAATAAAAATTGCGTTGAATAATAAAAGGGTCGTCTGGGAGTTTATAGCTGAAGTCCTGTGTTGTTATTAGTAAGTTAAACTAGTCTAACCCTGGTAGCAAATTAACCTAGAAATACTAATAATTTATCAAACAAGGAATTTGTTTTTCTCTCAAGTAATGTCCAGTTTGTATCAGGCAACCCTCCCCCATCTTGCAGAAACATGTAAGGAATGGTCCTGTACGTTGATTACATCTTTTTTTCCCCTCACATTTTACTGTCCAGAAATCAGCCTCATTCCTCTAACCTAACTGGAAGGCAAGCTACAAAATGCAGAGGAGCTACGTTTGAGTGTTGAGGGCCAATTCCACCACTAATCTTTAGCACAGATTGAACAATGCGGGAAAAGCTCCAGAAGCTGTGGCATTTAAATCGATGCCTGAAAAGTAAGAATTAGTTAAATTGACCAGGAAAGATACAGAAAGATTATGTTAGGTAGAAATAATCTTGTGCCAGTGCCTAGAGGAAAGAGAAGGATCTAAGAACTGGAAGTATAGCACTTGAACAATGAATGGGGGGGTAAGGCAGGTAGGGGTACAGTTCTGAAAGGTTTTATAAGCTGTGTGTAGGTATTTAGAAATTATTCTGAAGTCAGTAAGAAGACACTGGGAGGTTAAAGCATGATAAATTTTGCATGGTATGAGTGATGTAATAAAATTTGCATTTTAGAAAAATCATTTTGGTTGAAGTGAACAGTATGGATTGGAGGAAAGCAAGATTGCAAACGGGGCCAGTTAAGAACCACTAGCATCAGTGCGGTTAAACAATGATAGGAACCTACAGGAATGGGAATGGAAAAAAGTGGGGAGATATTTAAGTTGTTGGAATTTGTGGTCTCTGACATAGGTTCGAAGTCAGTAATGGGAGTAGTATGATATATGGGGGATATGATTGGCTAAGTTTGGGACATACAAAGTGTCTATAGCCAAACAAAAGTGGAATACATAGGTCTGAGATGAGAAGAGAGACCTTAACTTGGAAAGAGATTTATCAGCACATAGATCATAACTGAAGCCACGAGAGTCAGTTTGTACTGGGGAAATGTATACTGTGAAAGAGAAGAAAGCCTGCCAGGGCCCTGCAGACAACATTTAAGGCAAAGGTTCTTAACTTCCTCAGTGCATCTGAGCTTTTTAAAAATACGTTACCTGGGCTCCAGACTTAAATTGGTCTCAGTATGTCCTAAGATATCCCGTGTTTCAAAAGCTCCTCTAGTGATGCTAACATACAGCCAGGGTTGAAAGCCACTAATGTCGGGTTACCCAGAAAATGAATGCAAAGGAGGCTAATAATCAGTGACACAGGAGGGAACCCATCTGGTGTCTCCAAGCCAAAGAAAGAAAAAAATCAGGAAATGAGCTGAGTAAAGAGCTGCAGAGTATAAAAAATAATGGTCAAAAAGTATCTTTAGATTTGCCAGTGTGAATATGAATTATGACCGGAATTAATTGTCATGGAAGTCGAGTTGCTGTAATTTGGGGAGTCAGTGAAAGGTAGAGAAAAGGAGACGGTTGATGTCACCACTCCGTCACATTCTCTTTCACCATTGTGAAAGCTCTATGATCCTGAGTAGGAGGCACAGTAAAGGGTAAATCTGGGTAAATTAGGAGATCGGGGATATCAGGAGGTTATCATGAGGATCTACAGACTAGGATAACTTGAGGAAGTAATGGAGTGTCAGGAGGTAAAAGCAAAACAAACTGAGGGAGAAACGTGTTTGATTTGTCAAATTATCTGAAACTAGAATGGAGACTTTACGTCTGAAATTTTTCGATCCTGATGCCTTTGTTTTACTTTGGGTGTAGGAAAGCCTCATTTGGAAATCTGCTAAGTTAAGTGTATTCTTAGTTCATTCCTATCTAATATGAAATTTCTGAGTATTTACTTCCTACACTTTTTAAAGGTCTTTTCTTTTAACTTAGGTGCTTATAGCAGGGTAGAGATGTAAAAAAGCATGCATGCACTCATAGAATACACTCATTCATCAAGTGATATTTATCTGTCATCAGCACTATTTGATGCTGGGCCTGCATTAGTAAATAAGAGTTTGTGCCTGTAAATAGTTTATAGACTAGTGGGGTGGACAGTTAGTTAATTAAACAAGTAGAGTACAGTGTGACAAATGTACTATAATCTGATAGAGAGGGTACCCAAACTCATTCATTAGCAGTTAAAAGAGTCTTCTGGGAGAGGTGATATTTTGTGTGAGACCTAAGACCTTCAAGGAGAGTAGGAATTTGCCAAGTGAAGATAAGAGTGAATGTTGAGTCACTGGGGAATATGCATATTAAGGCTGAGGGAATAGAGTAGAATGTTCTTAAGGCAAGAGAAAGCAAAAAGCCATATATAGATGGGAAAAATTAGATAGGTTTTTAACCTATTGTCTTCCTCAACTCCATTGTCAGAGATATGCTCAGATTTTCCTAGAAGTACACACCCCTACTTAGAGCTCTCAAATGCCAGGTCTCAAACTTGTGTGTATAGGAGAAGTAGCTTGTCCCAGTTATCTAATGCCGCATAACAAATTACTCAAAATTAATGGAATAGAGTAAACATTTATTATACCCACAGCTTGTGGGTCAGGATTTCAAATTGGTCACAACAGGGATAACGTGTCTCAGTTCCATGATGTTTGGGATGTCAACTTGAGGACTGGAGGAGCTAAAGTCATCTGCAGCATTTGTTCCTTCATCTGTCTAACAGTCAGTGCTAGCTGTTCGCTGGAGGGCTTACCATATTTTGACGTGTATAATGCGCTCCCATGTATAATGCACACCCAAGTTTTTGGCCTAAACTTTTATAGGAAAAAAAATCTTTCATTTTAATTTTTTAATTCAATTTTTTGTTTATATTTAGAAACAAAACTGACTGTCTTATTCCAAGGTATTATTTTGCATATGGACATTGTTAATTGCTTTCTAGAGTTACATTTTTAATGTGTAAGCATAAATAAAAGAATGAAAAACAGTACTCACTTTGGCAGCACATACACTAAAATCGGAAAGATGCAGAGATTAGCACGGCCCCTGCGCAAAGATGACACAAATTCGTGCAGCATTCCATATTTTTTTAAAACAATAAAAATATTTACATAGATATAGAATTAGCACTACCCATGTATAATGTCCATTCTTATTTTTCCCTCAAAAATTTGGGCCAAAAACTGCACATTGTACACAGCAAAATTCAGTAATTCTTTTCTGAAAAAGCCTCTCTCTATGGTCTCTCCTCGTGGACTAGTTTGACCATACTCAGAGCCTGACGACCAGGATCCTAGATTAAGTGCCTCAAGAAGAAAACTCTGTGTAGTTTTATTATTTTATGATCTAGCCTCAGAAATCACATGCACCATCTTTACCATACTGTATCTGTTGAAGCATTTATGGCCTTTGTCCATACTGAATGGAAGAGAACATAGAACCTACCTTTTCGGAGAAGTGTTAGTGGCATTGTAAGAAGAGAATGTGGGAAACTATTGATTGATTGATTGATTGACTGATTAGTATATTGAAAAAAGTAATCTTGCACATTCCTCATGTAAGAATGTTCACAAATAAGAACAATCCATGTCCCACTGTACCAGTAGCAGTCACTAATTGTCCTTTATAGCTTGCCTGTTACTCACTCATGATGCCTTTAACATTATTTTTGAGGTATTTTATAAATGCTAGTTGTCCCATCCCATCCAATATTTGCAAAAGCAGAAAGAAACCTAGAAGTGGTACTAAGAAAAATTATATGATTCCATTGGAAATCAACAAAAGATTATTAATTAAAAGTGATAAAACTACACTGCCTTTATGTTGTCACTTTCAACATATAAATAAATAGAAATCAGTGAACATTTTTTTCAGAACCTGTTGTGATTTTAAGTAATGGAACTTTACTACTACTTTATCGCCTTTACAAGCCTGCTAGCTAGGTAGGACAGTTTTGTGTGGGCAGGGTTTAACCTTCTATCACACTACAACTGTATTCTAGCCTCAGCTACAATATAAACAGAATATTAAACTTTAAAAACAGTGTGTTCTCCCAGTAAAAATAGATATTAAAGTTAAAACTACAACTCATTTCATTTGTTTGTTTTTCTTTGGCCCTGGTTTTCTAATGCATAGAATTCATTTTATATATGCACTTGTGCAAGATGTGTATGTTTATACACATAGGTGTGTATATATACATACACAAATATATGGAACCATCTCTATATGCATACATAGCCATAAACCCAAAATTAGGCCTTGGTTTCACTTGCATATATTCACCATCCTCTTAGTCCTCTGATTTTAAATAATCCAGGAAGTTCTGAATTGGAAGGAAAGTTTTTTAAAGTAATGTATCTAGGCTGGGTAGCTCAGTTGGTTAGAGCATTGTCCCAATGAGCCAAGGTTGCAGGTTCAATCTCTGGTCAGGGCACATACAAGAAACAACCCATGAATGCATAACTAAGTGAAAGAACAAATCGATGTTTCTCTCTCTCTCTCTCTCCCCCCCTCCCTCCTCTCCCCTCCTTCCCTCTCTCCCCCTCTCTCCCTTCCCCCTGCTAAGAAATCAATAATAAAAAAAAGTTCTGTATCTATTTTTGCGATCAGGTTTGCTGTTCTAATCCATCCCATCCTACCTACAAATGTTGTAGGAAGGTTGAACTGGGCACAAAGTTAACCAGCATATCGCTTTCACCTGCTTCAGCCAAATCTCAGAGTCACTGACCTAGAAAAAACTTCCCACCCAGTCTACCTAGATAAAAAGTAGAGTTGAAAAATGGTAGCGTCAGCCATTTTTACCAGGTACTGTACATTTGTTACCTTATTTAATTCTCACAACAACTTAGAAGAGTAACCTGTTCTTCTTTCTATTTCACAAAGAAGAAAGCAAAAGCCTGGAAGAAATGAAGGAAGGAGCTTGACTGTTTCTCAGCTCTGACATAGTGACAATGAATAAGATTCTAAGCCAGATCTGCCCAATTCTGAATACTTCTTATTCAGTTTAGGTAGAACATGTAGTTATTTCTGTAATATTTCAAAGTTGAATATTATTTTGATTTTGATTTAACATTCATGGGAGTAAATGGCTTGTTCTCTTCAGCTAGATGTACTTGTATAGGGCACAAGCAGCAGCAGTAAGAAGACTTAGGGGTAAGTCAGGACATTAACCCTACTAAGAGCTCACAGTCTGCTGTCACATCAAAAAAATTTTAAAGCCTTATAACCAAAAAAGTATACAAAAGAAACTATGAGTAATATAATTTATTATGTTGTAAAATACCAGAACATTCCAACTCGCCAAGGAAAGATAAATGGAAAAATTTAATCAGAATATATGAATTGCCTGTAAGAAAATATAACATTCCGTGAGAAATCAAATTGTTACCTTAGATTAAATTCCTCACAAATTCATGTAAGCACCATAAGAAAAATATCTACTTGTATTGTATTTTTCTATTTATATTATATTTTTTCTTATTGTATCAAAGCCAAGCCCTGTTGCTACTTACTCTTTGATCTATTATTTTGCTTTCCATCAATGACTTTTTCCTCTTTAGAAGTAACATATTTCCTTAACAGTGGGGTTGCATTTTTTTACTGAGATCAAAATTAATGTAATTGAAAACATTGCAACCCTGAAAATATTTTAATATTAATGTAGTGGCTCCTGGGTAAATATTTCTGGAGTCATAGAAAAGTCAAGCTGGAAGTAGTATTATAAAAAACACTCCCAAAAGTTAATCACTACTGGAAGAAGAGCCAGGATAACGGTCTTAGTTTAGGGAACCTTTTCAAGGAGCCACACAACCCATTGATGTTCTGATGTTCTAACTTGCAAGATGGCAAGTTAGTACATGAAATACTTCAGAAAATAAGCCAGCGTGAAGTGCACTTTCTTCATTTGGACCAGAGATTTACCCAACTTGCCCATCCCATTACAGATCCCCTATTTCTTTCTTGTAATTTCTTGCTATGCCAGTGCATGAAAAACTGAAACTGGATAGTCAAGATTTTTACTTTTTTTATTTTTAATAGATTGTTTTTATTATGTTTTCTCCATTACCATTTATCCTCCGATATCCTCTTCCACTTCCACCCACCCCTCCCACACACACACAATGATCGCACTGTTATCCGTGTCCCTGAGTTTTCTTTCCTTTTGCTTGATCCCTCCATTTCCTACCAAACCCCCATCCTCAGACCAGTGGTACCACTGAGGAATACTCCTCCGCCATAAAAAAGAAGAAAATTTTACCCTCTGTGATAGCATAAACTGACTTGAAGAACATTACGCTAAGTGAAATAAGCCAATCAGAAAAAGTACCATACAATTTCACTCATGTGGAATCTAATGAACAGACCAAACTAACAAGCAACATCGTGACAGTCATGATTTTTTAAATTTCATTATATTTTAGTCAAACATGGATCTTTGAAGTTTACTTTGAAAATAAATTCAAGGTGTCTTGCCAGTTATGAGAATAATTTAAATACATGAACTCATATTAAAACTCATTTTTAGTGTTATTCAACAGTAAATTTAAAATTTTGCTCCTTATGAGATAATGTTTATGGTAAGCACTGTGCATGACCAATACAGGATAACATCTGTGTGTGTGATGAAGTTGTAGGGAGCATGAAGAATTGGGTTTCCTCCTCCTGGAATGGCCATCCAGCGCCTCCTTTTCTCCTAGCTAACTCTAATTTCTTCTTTAATATACAGATCATTCTCTGATCTGTTCATTTTGCATTATGTGTACCTCTTCTATGAATTATCTGTAGCAGCCTGTGCACACTCAGGTACTTCTCTTTATTTATCTTTCCTTGCTGGACTGTAAAATTGTAATCTTCACTGTTTTCTCATCTTTGTGTCTTCAGCAGCTAATCCTGTGCCTGATGCTTGGTAGGCACTAATGTCTTTGTTGAATGAAAGCATACATGAAAAAATGAAAATTAATAGATTTGTAGGTATTTTATGAAGCACACATTCATAAAAGATTGTGTTTCAGGAGGAAACCAGCATTAACTCTTTACCCGTAAAACACTGAACACGTGTCTTTGTTAGGCTTCTTTGTCCCATTCTGCAGTGTTATTTTTGTTCCTTTGGAACTTCAACCTCTTGCCCTAAACAAAATATAGTTGTTGATTTAAATTACATTTATAACTTTGTCAGTAAGGTTTTTACTTTATTGTTGACTTTATTAATAAGAAATTTACCATTCTTAATTTGCAGTTGTATTGTTTTCTGGCAAATTTTCCTCTAGAGAATGTGTCCTTAGTTCTTTAGTGGAGGCTGCAGCAAAATAAGATTTATTTGCCTTATGTTAAAAATGTCATTCCTTTGGTGGATTGTTTGTAATGTGTTTTTAAAATTATAGGCTTCCTGATCTAAATCTAAAATTGTGTGAATAATATTTATAGGTTTTATAACACTTTAGAGTTCACAGATTGCCTTCTTGTGCTTTTCAAAAATATAATCCTCATATTAAACTCATGTGAGATAATACAATACTTATGAAATTATATAGTGGGATATTATAACATCCATTTTATAAATAAATAAACTAAGAATCATAAAGGTTAAATAATACCCTGGATTGTACACATGGGCCTGGAATTTAATTTGTGGGAAGATTTTTGCTATTGATTCAATTTCTTTAATAGTATTATAGAGACTTTTCTATTTGTGCATTTGTGTCAGTAAGCTATATTTTTTTAGGAATTTGTCCATTTTATCTGTTTTCAACTATATTCACATGAAGCTATTTTAATCTCTTATTTTAGTGCAGGATTTATAATTATGTAGTTTTTGATATTAACTATTTCTATATAGTTTTCTCTCTTTCCTTCATCTCTCCCTTTTTTTCTTTCTTCCTTCCTTGCTACATTTTGCTAAATCTCTCCAAAGGATTGCAGCTTTATTGGGCTTTTCAGAGAGTCAACTTTTATCTCTGCTGTCATCTTTATTTTATTTCTATTTTTCTATTTCTTAATTTCTGTTCTTATTTCTTGTCCTGTAGGCATGTAAGGCTATAAAATACTGTTATTGATTTTGCTATATACCACAAGTTTTTCATATTATAT